TCTCAGGACTAAGTCGTCTACCGCAGGACCAGGTCGCCCGTCACAGGGCCAGGTCGACCATCACAGGATTAGGTCGCCCATCTCAAGACTAGGTCGCCTATCGCTAGACTAGGTTGCCCATCGCAGGACCAGGTTGCTTATCTTAGGACCAAGTCGGCCATTGTAAGACCAGGTCGCCCATCGTAGGACCAGGTCGGCCAGTCATCACAGAACCAGGTTGCCAATCGCAGGACTAGGTCGCCCATCTCAAGACTAGGTCACCTATCGTTGGATTAGGTTGCCCATCGCAGGACCAGGTTGCCCATCTCAGGACCAGGTCACCCATCGCAAGACCAGGTTGCTTATCTCAGGACCAAGTCGGCCATTGTAAGACCAGGTCGCCCATTGTAGGATCAGATCGGCCAATCATCACAGAACCAGGTTGCCAATCGCAGGACTAGGTCGCCTATCGTAGGACCAGGTTGGCCATCACAGGACCATGTCACCCATTGCAGGACCAAGTCACCTATTGTAGGACCAGGTTGGCCATCATAGGATTAGGTCGCCCGTCACAGGACTAGGTCGCCCATCGTAAGACTTGGTTGACAATCGCAACATTAAGCTAGGGACCTTAGCATAAGGGGCGGCCTCTCTCTGTCAACCTGGCTGAAGCATAGTTGGCGACCTGTAGGATGTGGTGGCCGACCCCCATCATGAGTGGGCTATCATCTCCGAATCCTTTAGGATCATGTTGCCTTGTCGACAGAGCTAACTACCGCCCCACCCGCTTTGGGCGCGATTGGATAAGCATTTCTCGCTTACGTAGAATCCATCTACATGTGTGAAACCACCTTCGAATCAGATGGGCCAGAGATCTTGGACGCATTTCGTGGAGTGCACAACAATTAGCCTATATAAAGGCATCCCCTTCCTCAGAAAAGGTATGTGTGATTTAGCATTTATAGCTTTCTAGATTTCTTGCTTCTTAGCTCTCTCAAATCTCTTTGCTGACTTAAGCATCAAAGTATCCACCCCGGGTAAAGCAACCCGAATACTCTGATCTCTTCTTTTGTAACTTGACCCAACAAACTCACCAGCCCTACATCCCACTTGTCCTCTAGTAAGAAGCTACCAGATTGCGTATCAAGTGGAGTTATTTATAGTAGCAGAACCGGATGCCTTCTGAATGAGGAGTTTGAGACCACTTTCTTGCAGCCCCTAATAAAACATAGACATGCCAATCATTGTCTTAAATTCTAAAACATCGAATAATCTATTTTAATTTTATACTAATCAAGCCAAACATGACCAAGGGGTGGTGGCGCAGTTGGCTAGCGCGTAGGTCTCATAGCTTCTGAGTTATCCTGAGGTCGAGAGTTCGAGCCTCTCTCACCCCATTGAAGTACTTTTTTTTTTCAGAAAAAAAACGTCAAAAGTATAGTGCATAGAATTTTGATGAGCTCCCTCAATGAGGAGAGAACATCTGCTGCTACCATGGTCTTAGCACTCCGTAGACAGGTCAACAACGAAAATAAAATCAAAACGTCACATTAATTGATTTTTAATTTCCTAACAAAGAATAATTATTTTTTATGATTTCCCAATTTCCATGTGATTCTGATTTTTTTTAGGAGGACGTGGCACTAAATTATAACTTCAATGTAAAAATAATCAACCTTTGAGAGCTATGTAAAAAATCGGTTTAGATGGCAGAAGTGATACCAAACAACAGAATTCACCAACTTTTGAAAAATCCCCAATTTCAAAAATTGATATATATATATATATATATATATTTTAAAATCAGTAAAGAAGAATCAACATCGATACCAAACATTACCTAAAACCCCAGCTGCTAAATTATGAGCTAAAAGTCTAAAACATTCAACTCATACTAATAAGTTATGGGCTAAATTAAAACACCAAGCTGCTTCTTAGGCCCCAAAAATAATTATATTGCTTTTTAATTAATTTCCATCCTTGGTGTACCATGTTTCTCATTGGTGTCGCAAGAGAATGCTGCGGCTCTTGGTCTCCCACAAACCAAGGTGCACGTGTACAACAGGCTATGTAACCCAATCAGAAGTGAACACGTCATGATTCGCAACTGATTCATCACTGAGAGAGAGATGCCAAAAGATAACCCAAATTGGTCAAGAGAAGAATCACTGCTGGCATCATAAGAAGACCGTCAAGGGCCCAATTCCATTAATCTTCATTGTAATTGATCCTACTTCCTAGTGGTGACGAATCCACCTTCCTTGGTGAGACGCAAAAGAGGCCAAAAGGGAACCAAAAAGGGGGAGAAGATCAGAAGAGGAGAGAGAGCAGCTTGGTTGAGTGATGACAGCTTATTGGGTGGTGGCCTGGTGGGGAGGGCGGAGTGGGTGGCAACACCACGTGACCGACCTCCTTGGTGGACGTCTTGGTTGGCTTCATATCCACGCAAACAGCCAAAACCCAACCACAACACACAAAAGAAAAGCCCAAACCCCCCTCTCCCTAAAACCAAAACCCACCAAAAAAAAAGCCAACAGTGGCCACAACAAGAGCAGAAAAGTGTGAGAATGAGATTAAATTGATTAGCACATTTGACAAAGTGATCCTCCTTGGTTGGCCACTAACACTCTCTCTCTCTCTCTCCTCTTCTCTTTGTTGCTACAACCTTTTGTTTTCATTCATTCTTTCCCACTACTGCCATCTCCTTCTGCTTCTTCTTCATCTGCACCACCTTTTCTTTGCTCTGATGCAATGCTAGCTGCAAGCAGGTAGCTAGAAGTATAGATGGGGAGAGATGGAGAAGCAGCAGCCTGACCAAGAGACACCATCTCTCCTCCCCACCAACAGCATTAAGGAAGAGAGTCTAAGGAAACCTCCAACTGTTGCCTCTGGTGGTGGTGGTGATAGGTTGAAAAGAGACGAATGGAGTGAGGGTGCAGTCTCCAGCCTTCTTGATGCCTACGAATCCAAATGGGTGCGTCGAAATCGAGCCAAGCTCAAAGGGCAGGACTGGGAGGACGTTGCCCGCCATGTCTCCTCTCGGGTCAACTCAACCAAGACCCCCAAGACGCAGACACAGTGCAAGAACAAGATCGAGTCCATGAAGAAGAGGTACCGCTCCGAGTCGGCCACAGCTGATGCCTCCTCATGGCCTCTCTTCCAGCGTCTCGATCTCTTGCTCCGTGGCAAGACCCATCCTCCTCCTCAGTCTCTTATGGTGCTTGATCAACCGCCACCGCCACCACCACCACCACCACCTCCTCCTCCTCGTGGAGTTCAGCAGCAAGGCTTACATGAATCCAATGGGGTTGAACAGGAGGCCAAGGTTTGCCTTTAATTTGTTTTTCAAACTTGTAGCTCTCTTTAGTCCAACAAAAATTAAATTCTTTTGGAGGTTGTTATCAATACATTCATTAATTGATGGGTTCACTCATGATTTGATGTTTTCGTTTAATTTACCGAGACATTATGAATCCCCTACAATTCATGCCGAGTAAACTCGGTATTGATCTATTGTTTATACCTTTTGTCTCAACAGGAAGAAGGCAATGGACCCAGCTTGTTAAACCATGAATCAGATAAGAGTCCAATGGAGATGGACAGTAGCACGCCAGTCTCTGATGACCGTGAGAAGCAGAAGTTGATGTCAAGGAAAATGAAGATGAAGCTGAAGAAGAAGAAGAAGACACGGAGAAGGGATGAATGGGAGGTGGCAGAGAGTGTTCGGTGGCTAGCTGAAGTGGTGGTGAGGTCGGAGCAAGCAAGGATGGATACAATGAGAGAGCTAGAGAGGATGCGAGTTGAAGTAGAGGCCAAGAAAGGAGAGATGGATCTCAAGCGAACAGAAATCATTGCCAGCACACAGTTGCAGATTGCTAAGCTCCTTGCAGGCAGTGGGAAAGGCATTGATTCTTCACCGAGGATTGGAAGAAGTTGATGATCAGTGAATTGAATGTGTCATCTCTGTATAGTTTCAAGAGAAATGACTCCTTTGGGAGCTATATATATATATAATAAGAACACTGCTACTCTTAATTGCCATGAAATCAAAAGATGATTTGCCTTGCTTGATTTCATCAACTGTCTATCGATCCGAGTTCTGGGTTCTACGTTATGGTTTTAGTTAATTTCACTAGCTAATAGTCAAAATTAATGACGATTCACCAAATGAGAGATCTTCTATCTTTGCACCCATATGACAGAGATGAGTATTTTTGTTCTCTTCTCTATGGTCTCTAGGCTGTTGTTTATTCTTTTCTAGGACTTTGGACTGAGAAAAGAACTAGAAGAAAGGAACAACATTTCCTCACATGTGAACAGAAAAAAACATTAGCTTCCTTGTGGAAGAAATGTTGTCGCCAGAATGGTGTCTGATTGCCGGATGGGTACTTGACCTGTACCAGATGTTTGATGGCTGGATTAGTGGAAAAAAAAATGGAAAGGAGAAGGCACAGAAATATGCCCAAAGCACAGAACATGCCAAGAACCCATTCTGTTGGTGATGAATCAAGTTGGGGTTTTACTGGTTTGATGACGGGTCATATCAATTGAAGTTATCATCAACCCAGTAGCCTTCCCCTGTCAACTCATCCTTCCATTCTGGATTTCTGGTTTTATTACAGGATTTGCTTCGCATTTTACTTTTTCCGAGATGGGTTTGGCTTACTAGGTTTTCGGTTTTTGGTGAGGTTAGTATGAAACAATGGATCCACTGTTTAATTAATAATAAAAATGTAGTGAAATTTGTTTCAATTATCAACTTTAGTAATAATATTGGGGATTTATAAAGTGAAATTAATGTTTTAGGCACAAATACAAGAAATATTTACTTGATGTTTTCTTTAACACCCTCCCATGCACTTCACCCAGCGCCAAATTAATGTAGTGTGGCCATTTCAAATTAAACCAGCTCAACCAAATGGTCCAAATGTTGTTGTTTTTTTATTTTTTATTTTTATATATACCATATATGTATACTAAAGCCATATCGCCTATACTTGCATGGAGTCCAAATGCCTATTCGATCGGTATGCACTGATCTTCATTAATCTTAGAAATCTTTTGTTGGTGTTTTCAGCCCCTTGTTGATTCGGCCAATTGGATTAGTGACCTGGTGATGCAGTCATATTTCTAGTTTGGATCAACATTGAACATGCCATATCACAAAAAAAAAAAAAGAAAAAAAAGAAAAAAAGATTGATGACTTGATCAATTATCGGAAAACCTAAATGGTTGAAGTGTTGACCAATTGACTCATTTAAAGGGTTGCTGATTTTTGTATTAAAAATCAGTTCAGTTCAGTTCTAAGGCAGAAATTGGAACATACCCGGCCTGTAAGGTTGGTTCTACGTTTTTGGAATTGAAACCTACTATCTGAAGATTGCGTCCAAGGTTGATTCTGGCCTTGCTGGTTTCAGGGTCTATAAGTGGGTGTATGTTGACAATCAGAGGGGTCTTTGCTTGAAGGACAGTAGAAATGGCACCTTAGAAGGGTGGCCACTGAGATAGAGGGGAAAAGGGGATCTCAAATATAAGATCAGAGAGAGAGAGAGAGTCTTTGGAGACGAGAATAGTTGTAACCTCTCGGACTCACAAGGAGAGAATGAGGATTCTGTTAGAGATCTTTACTTCGGGGATCCCTATTTATAGTTTTTTTTTTCTTGAATACCTTTTTCCTTCCAGAAATTTCTTTTTGGGATCCTTTACCTAGAAGATTGGCCTGATCTATGCCATTTAGTCTAGTTGGGGAATTACCACGTCTCCATTGGGGCTTTGGTATTTAGGTTCTCACCCTTGCCGATGCATGTACATGAAAGGCTTGTTCATTTCCTCTTAACTCTTATATCCTAAGAGGAATCTTATAATTTTAAGAGAAAAATGGGTGTTCGTTTCCTCTTACCTCTTAAAAAGGAATCTTACAATTTTTTATTTTCTAATGATACCCCCAAAACACAAACACAAGTTCTCATATATGGAGTTAAAATGGGCATTTGACAATTTTCAGAATTCAGAACAACATTTTTTGCCTTCAAATTTCAGAAAAAAGAAAAGTTCATCAATACCAATATACCTCTTAATGTAATTATTGCACTTTCAGATGTCAGATGTCAGAGCAAACGAGCAGGCCTACATTCACGAGTTATAATGTTTGTTACCAAGTCACTGATAAGTGTATGTTCTACTTGTCCATGATTTGGCTAGAGATGATGGTCTTGGGATTTGAGATTTAAGCATTTGGTGAAGCACTTTGGCAAATAGCTATAGCATTACGATGTGGTATGCATGACTTAAATCACACATTGGATTACAAATCACGATCTCTTGAAGCTTGCAACTTTGCATAGGGGTGAGCATGGGTTAATTCTCTTCAGTTCCATGGAAAAACTTGGAACCTACCCCATAGGAGTCAGTCCTAGGTTTTTTGAAGGTTGGTTTTGGCCTTGGCGGTTCTAGGGTCTATCCATAAAACCTATTCATTCTTTACTTTCCCCCTTGAAAAATGAAACATGCTCTTTAAAAACTTGATTTTTAATAAATATAATATATAGTTTAAAACTTATATTATCTTTATTAATTAAATTGAATAATTTAATATATAATTCATCATGATGTATTATTAAAAACTTATCATTATAATTTGAATTTTGTAAATATTACCTTTTACATTACTTATTATACACATTCAAATATTATAATGAATACAAATAATCAAATCACTTAAGTAACTCAATGGTCAAGTGAGACCATGGCTTCGTAATCGTGAGTGCTTGGGTTCAAAACTTCACATCCTTAAAAGTATTTTGGAGTTTATTTCATGACAAGTTCAGTTACAAGGCTGGTTCCACCAAAGCCAACCAAGGTTGGTATGGGTAGGGTAAACCCTAGACTATAGAACAAGCTTGAGTGGGGGTCAGTTCCAATAATTTGGAATACGACAATCATGCATTGCACTTTTTGTGATGTGCAATAATAATAATAATAATAATAATAATAATAATAATAATAATAATAATAATAATAATGATAATGATAATGATGATGATGATGATGATGATGATGACGATGACGGCGATGATGATATAAGTTCAAAACTTATATTCAATTTATTGGCTAAATTGATTAAATTCTGTAATTCAATTTATATATTATCATAAGATATTAATATATAGTTCGAAACTTTTCATCATCATTTAAGTTTTGTAAATATTACCTTTTACATTACTTATTATACACATTCAAATATTAAATTCAAGAAAAATGATTAAATCACTTAAGAGACTCAATGGTCAAGTGAGGCCATGGTCTTTGTAACCATGAGTGCTTGGTTCCAAGCCTTCATATCCTCTAAGTATTTTGGGATTTATTTCAAGGCAAGTTCTGTTCCAAGGCTGGTTCCACCAAGACCAACCAAGGTTGATTCTTTGGGCCGGTTCGGGTAGGGTAAACTCATAGGCCTTGGAATTGGCCTGGATGGGGATCAGTTCCAAGAATTAGGAATCAAACCTTGCCCAATAACAAATTGGGTAGGGTTTGTTCAATGTCAAGTTCCATTCAATTTCAAATAGAATCTATGCATTTGATCACCTCTATTAAAAATAGTTTATGTTTCATAAGTTGACCCATTGGCCTTGATGTGGATAAGTGCTTCAAACCTATGGGCTAGGTTCCAAAGCATTGATCTATGTTTATTAGTGGTCCTCTAGGAAGGGTTAGGGCCACAACTTGGGCTGTGTTTAAGGATTAAAGTATATTTGTATCAAGTATCGTAACAGATAAGTTGGATATGGATACAAATGCTCTTTGGAAACACATGAATATAGGCCAAAATTATGGAAATGTTTGGATATGCTAAGGAAATGCATACAAATCACATAAATACATTAATGATGATATATTTAAAGCTGAATCGATAATGAATAAGGTGTGAAGACATGAAAGATGCACACATTAATAGGTTATATTAAGAGAAACATTACGATCAACAACACTAGAGCTCTAGAACATAAAGACATTTTTACATGAAATAAATCATTTAAGTCATAAAATATTTTTTGTTGTTATACTAGCCTTTAACTACAAATCTGTCTACAAAATAAAATTTCTAAAAATTAAATATTTACTAAAATAAAGAAAATATACTTTTTGAGAAAATTATATAAATTTAAGAAAATATAACATACATATAACTAAATAATTTAATCTATAAGTCATTGAGTTAAGCACTTTATAACATAAATTGTTTCATTTTTATAATTTAGTATTCAACATAGATAAAATATATTATTTTTATAATTTTCAATTTTCATTAAAATTTTTAGAGAAAATTATTTGTGTATTTTAATACAAATAATAACTCTATTTCTTCGAATAATAAATATGTTTTCATTTTTAACATGAATTGTTGTTGGATCAATTGATTTGAAGTTTGATTAATTAAAAATCATTTAAAACATATAAAATGGTTTTTATTGTTATACTATAATCTAACTACAAAATAAAAAAGTAAATTTTTTAAAAATTAAGGTCCTGTTTGGTTCACTAGAATAGGGGTATGGAATCGGAATTGGAATGGGCTATTCTGATTCCGACTGTTTGGTTGCTGGAAGGGCATTGCCCCATTTGAGGGAATGGTCATTCCCTATGGTCTATTTCGATTCTGGCTGTTGGGTTGGGAGGAACCGGAATCCGATTCCCATTCCTGCAGAAAGGGTATTGCCCCATTTGAGGGAATGGTCATTCCTTGTCCCTCCCTTGGAAATGAAATTCCATTCCTACCGATTCCTATTTCTATTCCCATTCCTATCTGAACCAAACAATCTATGGAAATAGACCATTCCGATTCCGATTCCAACTGTAAATCAAAGGGATCCTAAATATTTACTAAAATAAATAAAACATATATTCTTGTTCTTATTCTTGTCCTAAATATTTACTAACAAAGCTTGAAAAGAGGGTCACATGCGCATGAAATTGGTTAAAAGGGGGTAGAAAAGTTGTTCGCGGGTTCATAAAAATGAGGGGATATGTGTCCAACAATAGCATACCACATACCCCCCTTTGTGATACCGATATAATGCGGGA